GATTAATAAGTATAAGAGGTTGATAGCAAATTTATCAAGAATCATTTCTTGCCTACACACTTTTCATGTATCGTGTACGTTTTTCTTTAAAACTGGAAAAAACCGCGCATAATATGCCGACAGATAAAATAAAAGTATTCCATTTATCATGACAATTTTTCCATACATTACAATCAAATAAAATATTTGATTGCAATTATAAAATGCTTGAACTAGGTGTCATGTCATGCCACACATCTCGGACACGTGATGACGCGGGTGAAACCGCGAAATTATTAGGTATACCTCTGTGGCTCTATATACCTAATATAGATCGCTTATTTTATTATGTTTAGTTTTCCCCGAGTGGTCATGCAGCAATCACTCAAGAGTTCGGCTTCGAACGTGTGTAACTCGATAATTATCCCACGGCAACGAAATACCTGAATAAACGGTATCATATATGATATTTGGCAGCTCCGTGGCGCAGTGGCTTAGCAATGAATTGTTGTACTGGGAGCCGCGGGTTCGAATCAATCGAACAAGTATTTGTATGGTCTACAAATAATTGTTCCGGGTCTGGATGTTTGTAAACTGCCTCCACGATACAGGAGAAAATCCTAGTGTGGGGTAACGTTTTTTTTGAAAAAAAAAAAATTCCGGACTATAGCCTATCTCTGAGCAAAATATCATCCAGATCCCTTCAGCCGTTCTGGCGTGATTGAGTAACATACATCCATTCATCCGTCCATCCAAATATCCAAACTTTCGCATTTATAATATTTAGATAATAATCGTAATTGGTCTGCCTACCTATAAATTGTTTTCAAAAATACCGTAAATGCATACAACATGAGACAGGTTTAAATTTCAATTCACAGTATAAGGTGTAATTCTTAATAATTATGGTTTGAAATTTTACTAGAACATGAGTCTCTATTTAAGGTAATAGGAGCATATTGCAATATTGAGCCAATCAATGTAGTTTTTTATATATATATTTATTTCGTCTTGTCTCAATTTACCTGCAACATGCGGTGAACATAAGACACCTTATAAAAGTCATGGTTTCCCATGTAGAATTTCAATGTTTGTTAATTGAGACGTTAAAAAATAACAAAATATTGAATTTGCGCAAATTAAAACAATAATAAATCAGTTATAACTAGAGGTATTAAATAAAACAAAATATTATCTACAAATCTTACCAGATCTTTTACTAGTTCTTCAAAAATCAAATAAAAATTATATAAAATCAAAAACAAAAAACAAACTTCTTCATAAATCGTCAAAAAATAAATCAACATAAATCTCGATTTTGAGACCGACGGTAATTTGAGATCTCAATTTGCCCACATGTCTCAAATTAGCCTTTAACACTAACTAAATTAATAACATTTGCAACTTATAATAAAATTTAAACATTGAGATCAAAATTGGAGTGTAAGCTATTAGGAACGTTTTATTGCGATACATAGGCTATACCTAGGCATACCTACGCTTTGAAGTGCGCACAAAAAAATATTATTTTACACAATTTTATTAGTCTTATAATTAAATATTAATATTAAAAATGTATTTTTCCCTTTTCACTTGAGTGGGCTTAATTGTATTTATTATTCGAGAAGTGTCAATTGTCATCATGTCATCCACTGCTGGAAATATGTAAATACCCTTTGTAGCTGAAAAACATCTCATGAAGCGACAGGTCACTTTTCCGTCGCTAACCATGTTCGTAACTTGAGCAATAAACTTCTTTTCAGTTTGTTTTTTCGTATTCTCATTGTAGAGTAATTCGACAACAACAAAAGAATCTGGTGAAATCTCCGAATTATTTACAATTTCTGTATCGATATCTTTAGAGCAACCAGCACCACCATCACTAGGTACAGAAACTTTAAATTGTTCGTCAGTATAGACCGATTGCTCTACATTGAGTGGATCTTCATTTTCTTGGTTCTCATTATTTGGGATGTTAGTTATACGTGGTGACACCGATCTTTCATCATCATCAGGAAACATGTCATGAACATCATCAAAAAACACTGTGTCGAACTCATTATTGTCATCGGATGATGAGTTTGCAGTATTCAAAACTGCTTCCCTCCATTCTTCTAAATCACTGCAGGAAGTGCTTTCATCATCGACGATCTTTTTTTTGTTTTTTCGTTTTATTACGTTTCGTCTTAGTCTTTAATGATTTGGATAAGTCCTCCACTGTTACACATTTACCTGGAATAACTGCCATTTTTTTTTCTTCGGGGCTGTGCTGCATTCTTTTGTTCGCATATCTTCGAGATACATTTTAAACGTTTCTAACCATTGCTGAGATGCATTATTATGGATTTCTGGATCTTCCTGTGTAGGCAATCTATCTAAGACTCTTTTTTCATTAATTGGATATATCCCAGCTGCTTCAAATCCGGACTTCAAATTTTTTCCCATATTTTCTATATTATCCAGAGTTTGCTTCAAAAGCCTCGGAAAAACATGCTTCGGCATTACTCCTCTATTTTTTTCCTTCCAAGACAGCAGAACAGACCTCCATTTTATTTTTAATGGTCGAAACACTGCTACATCGAGGGGTTGGCACAACCCCGTACTATTTGCCGGTAAACAAACAAATTTAATATTATAGTCAGTACACTTTTGTATCACATCTAATGAAAAATGACTGCTCAGATTGTCACCAATTACAACCACGGGTCCTCTGCCATTAAACGATTCAACATAAGGAATAATGACCTTCAAAAACCAATCCTCAAATATTGTAGTGTCAAACCATCCACTCCGAGTTCGGTTGTAAACTGTATTTGGAGGTCCTCCTTCCGTCCAAGTATTATATAAATGTTCCGCTTTATAAACGACGTACGGTGGAAGCAGAACACCTGACGCTGTCCCAACAAACATTACGGAGGTACTTGATTTTGATGAGTCAATGATTTTATGAGCATGCTTGATACCTCGACGTACCAACACTTTCTGGCGTCCCGGGTCATCAGACATATTAGTCTCGTCAAAATTTTCTATTGCGGCCGGATCCTCCAAGGTGGTTTTTAATTCTTGGAAGTATGATTTTAATGTCTCCTGCGTAACTCCAGCTCTTTGGCGTTTAATATTTTCTGAGAGCCTTACAGATAAAGTGCTTTTATGGCGCCGTAGAAAACCTTCCAGCCAATATCGTCCCGGTAAGTTACCTTTGAAACGTGTCTCATTTAGACCTAGCCTATCTAGATGTGATTTCACGAGTAAAGATAGGTCTAAACCTGATAGTGGATATCCCCAAGCAGCAGCTGTAATGATTGATTGCACAAAGAGTTCCTCCAGAGCTTCACTGAAAACTTTAGGACGGCCGACTTTGTTTAATTATAGCCTTCGGTGTTTTCTATTTAAAGTTGCTCGAGGTATTTTAAATTTTTCTTCCGCTTCCCTCAAAGTCATGCCAGTGTCAACTGCTGCCATAGCAGCTTTCAAAGTGTCCTCACTATAATTTCGGTAGGGTTTCGCCCCGAGAACTCTTCGTCTTCGCGAAGACATAATTACTGAAACAAAAAAAAATAATGTATCATCAATAATTATCATAATTACTTGAAATTGAACCACTAACGATTTGAATAAAATTTGAGACATATGCACCTAATTTGACTCATAAGCACCTAATTTGAGACATGGTCTCAATTTTCCATCATAAAAATAAAATGCGTCCAGTTTGAGGAAATTTTAAATTTATTCTGGCAACATTTAACAAATAGTCTAAAACATGGAGTTTTTTTTGTCTATGGGAACATGCTTCACAAGATGGGATTGATTAATCGATTTAAATCACAGTACTTATTAGTCAATTATCAGAGTTCTGAGGTATATGTAGTACAACAATATATTTCACAAACAAATTAATGTCTATTTCTCAAAAAATACTACTTACCTGGTAAAAAATCCTTCACGACAGCAAGTATGGAACCTCACACAACAAATTCAAACTGAACTGTCAGTGTTGCCAAAATAATAATGATACTACATGTAATAATATATGCCATGGAAGTTTAGTCTCAGTTTACCTTCGAGTCTCATGTTGTACGCATTTACGGTACTTACTTACCTGGCTTCTTATTTTTTTATATATACTCAATATCACTAAACGTAAGCACAGGTTTTTATCAAGACAGGTGACCCATCAAGATTGTTTTCTTAGTACTGACGTACCTACCTAAAGTTTACAATTTTGTGGCCACGACGCGGCGAGGTTTTGTGATATTTTGTTGTATTGTAGATTGTAGGTATCTAGGTAATAACAGTAGGTACTAGGTACCTATGAAAATCCCACATAATATACTTTGTTTATCCGCCGCAAAAGTCGTCTAATAAATAATTAAACTGTTTTGTAATTCTTTATTTATTTATAACACTTGCATTGAGAGTCGTGGTAGCTCAGATGGTTAGCGCTCGCTGTAAGTATCACATTACGCGAGCAACCCGGGTTCGACCCCCGTCGGCACCAATGAAATTGTTGCAATTTTATATAGTAATCGAATATAGACTTTACTTTTTTTACTTTTATAATTATATTATATTACAGACGAAAATTTTAAAATATTGTCTGTCGTCCAAAACGCATCATCTCTTTCAATTATATCAATTTCTATGCCGTCTTTTGTCTTTGGCGTCCAAATTACAAAATAGCAAAACTTTTCGTTTCGAATAAAACTCGAATACAAGCGCGCGTCACCGCCTGTGCATGTGTGTGTAAGCATCGTCCTCCCGCACCGCACCGGGGGAGACATTATTCAGTGAGATGCACGATAATTCATAGTAACATGCGCGCGTAAAAAAATACGAAAAGGCCTTTGGAAGAAAGGGTTTTATGAAAAAACCACTGCATTAATCAATTACAAATAAAATTTATTGAGTTCTTCGATAATTGACCTGTGTCGGTACCGACTTTGTTTTGGAAATTTTACACTTCTTTTATTACTAATTTACGCCCAAAGTTGTGTTAAAATTGGCAATAAAAACGAATCTTTGGTAGCTCGTAACTTTTTAATAACATTTTATTTTACTATTCTGTTTCCTTACAGACAAATTTAATAATGAGACAAACGATATCATGTTTAATTTTGGATGTACACTGTCAAACAGCGGAGTAAAACCCCTCCGAAATTTCTATGGAAATAATGTCGACTAGTGTCACCTTAAAGCTTTTCCTTTGGATGTTTTATTATATGAAGTTCCATTAACTGAGTCAAAGAGGTCGTCAAAGAACGATATAATTTCGGCTGTATTTTTCAAAGTCGAGCTTACTTGCTTTCCATCTGCATAATGAGCTAAAAAAATTAGGCCACATACAGAATTTGTTCAATTCAATTTTAATTTATTTCAAAAAGTTAAAATTTAGCTTTGACTTTCCAGGAATCTTAAAATATTATGCCAAATTTAGCTTAGGAACTTACAAAACTGAGCAGTATATGATAACGTAGCAGCTACTGTCTTGCTAAACACTAGTGCAATTTTTAACCTGAAATATAAATAAAAACAAATTAGAAACTAGTAACAGAAAAATAGCACATTTTTTACTATTTCACAATGTGATAAACATACAAAATATATTGATATTTAATAAAATTTAATTTTTAAAATTAATAAAAACCTTCATCTTTTTAATTTTCTCTAGAATCACATTATCATCATTTAATTTATATAAAAGCCTCATCTGTGCAAGTTTGCAGTCTGTTTTATATACTTCAACAATGTCACTCCGACATTGTTGAAGTATATAAAATTCCTTATCTGTCAGGCAGCTCTATATTCTACAATGTATCATTAAAAAACACTCACAGTATAATTCACAATTGATAAAAGATAAGCGCAGAAATGATCTAGTTTGTTACTACAACACGCATTACACCAAATTTTCACATAAATTCTTTACCTTTCTTGGTAATTATCTATATAATAAAACAAACGCTAGACTAGACTATGAGACCCCTGAACACCTTCACACACAACACAAACACACACACACAACACAAACACACACACACAACACAAACACACACACAACACAAACACACACACACACACACATATTATTATTAAGAGTCCTTATCCTCAATTAAGAAATGAAATACAGATGCGTTGTCATTGTCATTGTTTTAACAGTGGCACGGATGGGCCGGCTCGAACCGGGGTGGTACCACGACCTCACAGAATACCAGCGTGAAGTAGAGGTTTACCTCTGCGTTTCGCTTGGTGAGTGCAGGTGGCCGGAGGCCCTTTTTACTGGAAATGAGGCATTCCATCTTAGTCCTCACGGGTGACAACGCATCTACATTTTGATTTGTAACAGAGGATAGATGTAGATGTCTATGGGCCGCAGCAACCACTTACCATCGGGTGGACTGTGTGCTCGTTTGTCAACCTTATCCTATAAAAAAAACCATGAGGACTGAGAAGGAATGACTCGTTACCAGTTAAAAGGGTCTCCAGTTCTCTACTCACCATACGAAACACTATTTTCTCACGAAAGCTGCTGTTTTATGCTGGTATTCTTTGACAGCGTGGTCCTACCCCGTTCGAGTCCATCGATTCGTGCTAGAACCTCAATATAGCTGCAGCGTGGCTCTACTACGTACAGACAGACACCACCACACGGCATCATATCGTGATATAGTTATGGTGATGGTGTAAGACAATCCACTACCCCATATCGTCTCGTGGGTGTTAACTCGTTATATAATTACATCACAAATTCACAAAATATACTTAGATTTTTATTTGGTACACACATATTTAAACAAAACACGTTTACACAATATTGTACATATTTTACCAGATATCTCACGAAAAAGGTTTTGCGCCAGTGTGTGTTTTTAAATGTCTTTGCAAATCATATTTTCTAGTAAATCTATGTTTACAGATATTACACGAAAAAGGTTTTTCACCGGTGTGTATTTTCATATGTCTTTGCAAATGAGTTTTTGTAATACATCTATATTCACAGATATTACAAGAAAAAGGTTTTTCACCGGTGTGTATTTTCATATGTGTTCGCAAATTACTTTTTGTAATACATATATATTCACAGCTATTACACGAAAAAGGGTTTTCACCGGTGTGTATTTTCATATGTGTTCGCAAACTACTTTTTGTAATACATCTATATTCACAGACATTACACGAAAAAGGTTTTTCTCCGGTATGTATTTTCTTATGTTTAACAAATTACTTTTTGTAATACATCTATATTCACAGATATTACACGAACAAAGTTTTTCACCGGTATGTATTTTCATATGTGTTTGCATTTTCTAATACATTTATATTCACAATTATTACAACAGTACATTTGTTTAGCGACGTGCGCTTTAAGATGTGCCAAAATGTAACCTTTATGAGATGTTTTAAATTCGCAAATATCACAATGAAATATTTCTGTTTGTTGTGGTACTGGAGTTAGTTCTACTTGTGTCCAAACTGCAGTGGTGTCTGAGTTCTTTTGCGTCTTATGACTGTATGAAATGTCTTTTGTTGAAATTTTTCATTTCATTTCATTCAAAAATGTATTTAGTTGATGTCCCAGATGTTTTTTTCTGAAGTATATTTACATTCTTTTGTTTCAAAATTTTCTTTTTCATTATCTTTGCAGAATGCTTTCCTTTTTTATAAATTGCTTGATATCTTTTTTTACTTTAGGGTTTGATTTAATAGTAGGGCCTTCAAACTCGAGGTCTTCTTCACGAACATCGCTTATGTTACAATCAGTAGAATTTGATTTAATCTTCTTCTCAGAAGTTTCTGAAAATTTTTTCATTCAGGAACAGCCCGCTGGTGTTTCTGAAAAAATCATTTTTTCAGACGAAGCCCATTTTCACTTGTCAGGGTACGTCAACAAGCAAAATTGCCGCATTTGGGCTTCTGAAAATCCTAAAGCGATTATTGAGAAGCCTTTGCATGCTCAACGTGTCACTGTATGGTGCGCTATGTGGTCTGGAGGCGTGATTGGGCCGTTTTTTTTTCGAAGATGAGGCTGGAAATGCGGTAACGGTCAATGGATCGCGCTATCGCGAGATGTTAACATCTCAATTTTGGCCTATTATTGATGACATCGATATCACAAACATGTGGTTTCAACAGGACGGTGCCACATGTCACACAGCCAACGAAACGATCAATTTATTGCAAACCAAATTTCCCGATCGCATAATTTCACGAAATTCAGCTGTTAAATGGCCAGCCAGATCGTGTGATTTAACACCACTGGATTATTTTTTGTGGGGCTTTGTTAAGGACAGAGTCTATACGGCGCCAATCGAATTGATCGCGGCCTTAAAACTCAAAATCCGTGACGTGATTAACGAAATAGACCCGCCATTTTGCAAAAAAGTGATTAAAAACTTTGATGAAAGAATCGACATCTGTCAGCGTGGTCGTGGTGGACATTTGCCAGATATCATTTTTCATCCATAATTGCCAAACTTTTCTCTTCGTAATACAATAAAAATTTGAATCATCTTCATCTAAACTCTTTGTTTTATTTTGTTTTTGAAAACAAAGTTCTTGTTGAAAAACCCATTAGATTTTTATTTGGTACACACATATTTATATAAAACACGTTTAGACAATATTGTACATATTTTCCTACATAGCTCACGAAAACGGTTTTGCTCCAGTGTGTATTTTCATATGTGTTTGCAAACTACTTTTTGTAATACATCTGTATTCACAGATATTACACGAAAAAGGTCTTTCTCCGGCGTGTACTTTCATATGTGTTTGTAAATTACTTTTTGTAATACATCTGTATTCACAGATATTACACGAAAAAGGTCTTTCACCGGTGTGTATTTTCATATGTTTTTGCAAACTACTTTTTAAAATACATCTATATTCACATACATTACACGAAAAAGGTTTTTCACCTGTGTGTATTTTCATATGTCTTTGCAACATGCTTTTTCTAATACATCTATATTCACAGATATTACACGAAAAAGGTTTTTCACCGGTGTGTATTTTCATATGTGTTTGCAAAGTACCTTTTAAAATACATCTATATTCACAGATATTACACGAAAAAGGTTTTTCACCGGTGTGTGTTTTCATATGGGTTTGCAAATTACTTTTTGTAATACATCTATATTCACATACATTACACGAAAAAGGTTTTTCACCGGTGTGTGTTTTTAAATGTATTTGTAAATGAATTTTTCTAATACATCTATATTCACAGATATTACACGAAAAAGGTTTTTCACCGGTGTGTATTTTCATATGTGTTCGCAAAGTACTTTTAAAAATACATCTATATTCACAAATATTACACGAAAAAGGTTTTTCACCGGTGTGTCTTTTCATATGTTCTTGCAAACGACTTTTTGTAATACATCTATATTCACAGATATTACACGAAAAAGGTTTTTCTCCGGCATGTATTTTCATATGTTTTCGCAACTGACTTTTTCTAATACATTTATATTCACAATTATTACAACAGTACCGTTGTTTAGCGACGTGCGCTTTAAGATGTGCCAAAATGGAACGTTTTTGAGATGTTTTAAATTCGCAAATATCACAATTAAATATTTCTGTTTGTCGTGGTACTGCAGTTTGTTCTACTTGTGTCCGAACTGCGGTGGTGTCTGAGTTCTTTTGCGTCTTATGACTGTATGAAATGTGTTTGTCTTTTGTTGAAAATTTTTTACTACAACCATCAGATTCAAAAATGTATTTAGTTGATGTCCCAGATGTTTTCTTCTTAAGTATATTTACATTCTTTTGTTTCAAAATTTTCGTTTTCATAATATTTGCAGGATGCTTTCCTTTTTTATTAATTGGTTGATTATCTTTTTTCATTTTAGGGTTTGATTTAATAGTAGGGCCTTCAAAATCGAGGTTTTCTTCACGAACATCGTTTATGTTACAATCAGTAGAATTTGATTTAATCTTCTTCTCAGAAGTTTCTGAAAAATGATTTGTCGAAGTTAAACTTTTTATTTATTGTAAGTTATTGCATCTTTATTGCAAGACACCTTAAGGCTGGATTTAGTGCTCGACCGACGGTTAGCACGTACCGTACGCGCTGACGGTACGTCCTGATCGTCGGTCGAGGCCAAGCGTTTAGTGCGTAACTGACGGCAAGCTTTGTTAGACGTGTATAATTACGAAGAATAATGAATCCATTTGTTAACTCTATAATATGTGCGTACTATTTACGCAAACGATTACGGCAATGCGTGAGAACTCAAGTGTACAACTCCGTCCTTAACATTGCGATATAAAAGAACCTGCCTAGTGAGAGGACCACAGAACTATACACCCTTGTCTGTACATTCCAGCTTAGTTGGTGTGATAAGATCATAGTTTATAATTGTATACTAGATAATTAAGACTACTGTACTTCCATTTTATTATCTTGTATTTTATACTTTTCGTTTTTGCTAAAGCAAAAGCATTAGCTGATAAGTTGTTTGAATAAATTGAAAAGTACACAAAAGAATGCAGTTTTGTAGTTATTATTAAATAAAGTAAAATAAAAGTCAACCTTTTTAATTGTTTAACTATTCTCTGCAATTATCAGTAAAATATCATCTGAAATAACAGACGGAGGCTGTACATTGTCTGTTCTATTCCTCTCAAAACTTATTACATCATTATTTTCATTATGTGGGCGCAACAAAGTACTGTCCTGTGATCCGAGAGAAAATCCAAGGGTAAAGTTAAATAAATCCACGAAAGTAAAAACACGAAATCTTACAAAAAAAAAAAAAAAAACACTACAATAGCAAATGAGCATGCCGCATGACAAGCTGAAACTCGAAGTTACAAAGTAAGTCTCCTTCGGAATATGCAATGGTCAATGACCATACAGCCTATTCAGTCGTTAATATTCAAATATTTTTTAGTTTAATGACATAGCCTATTCAATTATTTTCTAAATATATTACTTTATTCAATTCCATATTAATCACTACAGATTCCCGTCAATGTTTCAATATTAAGTTTTTTTTTTACTAAAAATAGCCTTTATTATCTATTGCCATAGACAAAATACAGAAAGATATTTAAAAACATTTCGTTTTTGCTAAAGCAAAAGCATTAGCTTTGTATTTCAGTTTAAAAATAATGTTTTTATCACTGTCCCAAGCATTACGGAGATAAAAACCATTTATTTATGCTTATAATTTATCATTTTATTACCTCCATATTTTTGTATGACTGTTAGAAACGATGTCAAGCACGCAATTTCATACATCTCCTTTGTGGTGATTTCTTTTTAATTTTTGATAAAGGTTTTTTAACATAAATTAATTCACCTGTGTCATCGTCATCTTTTTTACTCTTTGAACCAAATGCAATTAGCGGCAAGTCGTCATCCAAATCCGTATGTCTATCTTCAAAAGCATCAATCTCCAAATCTTCTTGTTTTTCAGCACTCTCTAGAATGAAACAGATTCTGACTCAATATATAAAATAATAATTGATATTTTTTTCAAGCGACTAGATCGTTACAGTCCACCACAAAGCTTATGGGCCTGAGTCACCAATTTCATTACCATACTGCATGTTTTATAAGCTAAGTGTAATATTAAGCTAAAGTGGCAATGGGTCGAAGAACTGATAACCGATGAGAAAGAGAGGTTTTCGAGTGGCAACATCGTACCGGTAGACGTAGTGTAGGGCGACTCCCCACTAGATGGAGTAACGACCTGGGTAAGACATGCAGGAAGTCGATGGATGCAGGTGGCTAAGGCCCGTGCTTTGCGGCATTCCTAAAGAAATTTGCAAAGACAGGTTGCTTACCAGTTGTAAGTATATCATTAATTCCTGTGAAATTAATCCATCTTAGTGACATACATACTGGCTGCATTTATACAGGGTTAAAATATTTTTAAAATATATTAATGCATAAGTAAAAAAAAAGTCAGAAAAGAAGCTCATTATTTTACATTGACAATTATTTATTAATTTAAACTAACAACTATCATGACAGGAATAACCTAATGCGACAGTGTAGTTCTTTTCATGCATAACAAAAATGTGGTCATTAACTGTAACAAATTGTAAACAAGCCTACCCTAGTGAATTCACGCAAGGTACAACAGAATAGGTCATTGTCTTCAGTCATTCTATTAAGAATGCGTAATGTTTGCGTTAAAGGCGCCTTGTCGAGTAAATTGGTACCCGTCTGGAACACACCTAATCCGCGCCAATATGTCACTATAATATTATTTTGTGTCGATGGACTAGTAACCACTTGCCATTAGGTAACTTGTAGCTTATTTCAATAATATCACAAAATATGCATATCTTACCTGTTTCATGATTCCCATTTAATTCAAATTTGGAATTCTCAATTTCGAAATTCTCTTCTTTAACTTTAACAGATTCAAGGCTAAACATTTCGTTCTGACAATCATTTTCTATATCACTCTCTAGTGGTCTGATATCTATATGACTAATTGGTGTGAATTGAAGCTTATCTCTAGCCTCATGATGATTTGGTATTGACTGAAACCAAATTCTTTTGTTAAATAAGAGAAAAAGCCAGTGTATTGGTGCCGTAGGAGAATCCACACTACCATACCATCCCACAGATGTCGTAAAAAGGGCCAGAGCGAATCTGAAACAGGAGATGGACAGCAGCATCTTCCTGACAACAACTCCCAAAATAATAAAAACCGGACAAAGTAAGGGTTCCGAATAAACTTACATAAGAATGTATATAGTTCATCCATCTCGAGTATAGAGTCTCAACAATTTATCCAATCAGATTCATGAATGCTTTTTTAAAATGGTTGTTCTCTTACTTAAAACAGAAAACTTAAGGTTGTAATAAATGGATATCAATCTGAGGCATTTCTAGCATATTCAGGTGTGCCACAGGGCACACACTTGGGGCCAACCCTATTCAACACTTTTATAAATGATGTAGTAAATTGTTTCCTGAACAGTGACGTACTTCTCTTTGCAGATGATTTAAAATTTTATAAAGAAATAAAAACCGTTAATGATGGAAACTTACTACAAAATGATATTAATAGGTTAGTCTCCTGGTGTGAGCCTAATAATGTAAAACTTAATCGTGAAAAATGTTACCAAATATCTTTTAATAAAAAAATCTATCCGATTTATAATGAATATAATATTAATGATATCGTCATGGAAAAGACAAATGTCATTCGTGATTTAGGTATTTTAATTGATTGTAAATTAAGTTTCACTACACATATGGATTAAGTTATAAAAAATTCATTCAAATTTTTAGGATTAAATAAACGGGTGATTAAAACTTTTAAAAATAAAAAATCCAAAGTAATTCTTTTTAACTCTTTTATCTCAGTAATCTTGAATATTGCTCTTCTGTCTGGAATCCATATTATCAAACACATATAAATACGTTAGAATAAGTGCAAAAGAAATTCCTTAAGTATCTTTATTTCAATAATAACAAAATACACAGGCAATTAACTTACATTGAAAGACTAGATAATTGTAATATGATTTCTTTAAATGATCGAAGATCGTTTATGGACTTGTGCTGGTTACACAAAGTCGTTAACAATAAAATTAGCTCGAATAATCTTTTAGGTAAAATATCTTATGTTGTTCCTAGACCTAATTCTAGAATAAGAAATCATAGTTTATTCAAAACTAGGTATTGTAGAACAAATGTCAGATTATCAGCTCCAATTAACTCCAAAAAATAGAACATCTTGACATATTCAACGATTCTTATACCACTTTTAAAAATAAAATTAAAAAACCTTTTTATAACATAATTAAAATCACCTCATGAGTTATTGTAGCAAAAAAATGTTTTTTGTTTTTGTTTCATGCATTAAAGTAGGTTATTTAGTTATCCTTTCTTCGTTTTCCAACAATAATGTGCGTTACTTATTATTTTACTTTAACATGTTAAGTTAGTCTGTAAGTATGATATGTACTTGTTTATGCCCAAATTTGCTCATGTTGAACGCCCTCCAATTGCGTTCGAGCTGTCGCGTCACCCGATAGTATGTAGGTGAAAAAAACGCCGCCAGTTGGGGCGGCGGTGTGCGGCTGGCAGTAGCTCGACGCGTAGGCGCGTTTACTAGCCGCGATGAGGGGAACCCGCGTAGGTCGTGATTGCGGCGGAAGTTCACGCGACCGTTGTCGGGTCCAGATAGTTAGATTAAGTGCGTGTTACTTCCTTACGTGGATATGTGAATTTTGCAATATTTAACTTGTTCGGGGATGCGGAGTTGTGCACGCGCGCGTCGAGTAGATATACGGTCTAGGGTTCGAACCGCGCATTCCTTGTTCGAGAGCTTCTCCCGGTTGATCATTAGGAAATCATTATAATCGTGTCGTCGCGTAAGTGCCCTTTTTTGTGTGTGTTGGCTTGTTAGTTTACGCGTCAACGAGGCGTATTTTGAATCTTTTCGCGACGTGGTTTTTGGTGTCGAATGAAGGAACTTAGTTGTTTTTAACGCTGAGTAGTATGACTCATTAAGAGATCGCTTTAATTCCCTCTTTATAATTTTGTGATAAGTGAATCCGGGACATTGAATGTTGAACTTTGAACCACTGTCCGTTACTGTGTCGGGTACCACGTGTTCGATTCTACGATTAATGTGGAATTAGGCGAGTTTAAGTTAGTTAAATGTACAATGAAGCTAATAGACTGAAATAGTGACAAGGAAGAAAGAAATGGTCCAGCGGTGGAGCCTGCTGGAGTGATGCAGCGTTTTGGGGCAGCCTGGAACTCGGCCTCTGCTGTTCGCCTAAGGAGGTCAAGGTTTCACACATTTACACATCACTAAACACTACTTGCCATGCATCTCACACCTACTTACGGCCTGATCGAGCCTTGGGGCGATCTAAGAGTCGCAAACAAGTACGTAATATGTTTTTCTAGCATTCTCCCATATAGCTTAGTGTTATAGGAAATTCTTCCATGTGGTCATTTTGGGCCCGACCTGCGGCTGCTCGTGGAATCTTCTGCTCATGGGCCCCAGAGGATTTGCCCTTGCTGGAGCAGCCGTAGGCTGTAACATTTTGGTAGCAAGAGCGCGGCTGATTGATTTCCAATCAAGCCACGGCCGTAATATTAATAATATAATATAGTATAAAAATAGTACGTAATAATAAAATTATTTTCGTAATACGCTTAATTAATAAAATTACGTAATAATTTGTTTGTTAGCGGGTAGATTTGAAAGGCACGCCCGTAGGTTGAGCAAGTGGGAGTTTTGTTAAGGCGAGGTACTTACCGTGGTTTGTTAAGGCTAGGTACGTTGACTAGGTAGATAAGGTTATCACGTAATCAGATAATTTTGTTGATCGACTGTGGTGTGTAACTTTATTTGTATTTAACTTGATTTGATAGGAATGGTATTCGTTACTCGTAAATTTTTTTTGTATTTGTTATTTGTTAATTTGATTTGTGTTTTTTTTTTTGTGCTAACTTGTATTTAATTTAATAAATAGTAATTTGTATTTAACTTGAGTTGATCGTACTAGTGTTTGTTATTTGTTAATTTGATGTGTTTTTTTTGGGCATTTGTTTGTATTTATTAGTGATGCCGTCGGACAAGCAACCGGCGTTCCGCCAGCAAGCGGAGTTGCGCTGGGCCACGCCCATATGTAGATAGGTCGACCTGATCGGGTTTATAGTTTAGGGAAGCGGCTCGAGCAGATCGTTGCCCGAAGGGCTGTAGTGGAGGAGGCTTGCACAGAGCTTTTGGCCTCGGATACGGAACAGGAAGTCCTAGACTCCTACCTCGCGGACTACGAGAAATTTTTTTTGCTCACGTACGATTTGATCGGGGCGGGGCCAAGCATGCTAATGAAGCACGTGAAGCTCGGCTGAGGGGCCTGTCCGAGTCTCCTCGGAAGCAACCTCAGCCGGAGCTGTTGGGACGACTCCCAACTCTGGACCTACCAAGGTTCTCCGGGGTCCTTTCCGAATAGCTGACCTTCGTTGGTCTTTTCGACAGCCTAATGGACGCCCGGAGGGACTTGACCCCGAGCCAAAAGATGGCGTACCTCCTGGCCTCACTGGAGGGGGAGGCCCTGGGCGTCGTCGGCCACTTGAGATTGTCGGACGACGCTTACCAGACTGCTCGAGACCTCCTAGCCAGAAGATACGCCAACGTTCGGCGAATTGCGGACGAACATGTTAAGCAGCTTCTAAGCCTCCCGCTGCTTAGTGACCGGGCCAGACTACGTCCGGACCTGGTGAATCTAGTCTTGGTGGCCTGTAATGCGTTGAGGCGGCTGGATTTACCAGTGGACGAATGGTCCTTTTTGTTGCTCGACATTGTGCTGTCCCGTCTACCTTTCGACCTTCGGATACATTTTGAGGAGAGGTACGGCGGGGACGGGGCCTCCTATATTCCGCCCTTCAATGACCTGCTGCGGTTCTTAGAGGAGCAGTGCCGGCAGATTGAGAACACGGCGGACACCGTTGACGACTTACGAGCCGTGCTCAGTGAGAGGCGGAATCCGCCGGGCAAGTCGTCGTCAAACCCCCCCCCCCAGGCCTATCGGTGCCCCCGCGGGAGGGCGTCGCTCCCTACCATCTTACAGTGGCCTAGCGGCCAGGGAGGCGCCCCCCTGCTCCTATTATCGAGCATCTGATCACCGGGTAACGTCGTGACCGAAATTATTAAGTAAGCCGGCTCCGGCGAGGCGAACTATCGCCAGGGAGCGCCGCTGGTGCTACTCGTGTCTGGAAGGGCACCTCCAACGAGACTGCCCGCACCAGCGGCCCTGTCCGCATTGCCGGGGTGGTCACCATGCAGTTTTGTGCCTAAGTGCGAACGACTTCTCCTCTCGGGGCTCTGCCCGACCCTCGACCCCCACGGGCGGGGGCGCTCAGCCACGCCTTCTGACGGGCGACGCTCGGCGCTCGCCGGCCGGCCACCGGGCCCCTAGGTTTGAAAAGGGTCCCTCCTCCGACCAGTCGGGGGGTAATTCCCCCAGGGGCGGGGGTGTCATCGCCCCCCCTCAGCGTGTGGAGAGGAACTTCACGGCCACTCAGCAGTCCGCTAGACTCTTCTCACCCCCGTTAGCTGAGTGGCCGCGACTGGTGTGCCACCGGCGGCCTCCACTGAGCCTTTGAGCCGTCAACAGTCCACTTGTCAAACTGTTCTATTGCCGACAGTCTCAGTGAAGGCGTACAACCCGAGTGGCGACTGTTAGCGGTTTGCGCACTATGGGATTCGGGTTCACGCGGTGTGGCCTCCACTTGGTGGTGGGAAGATTAGGGCTCCCCTGGAGCTTTGAATCACGCTGTCAAGGAGTATTAGATTTGGTTTTGGTCGAGCACTTGGCTAAAATTCCTTTAAATTAAAAATAAAAATGCTTTTGAGTTTTCCGCGAAATGATTCATATTATGGCGGTTGTGATTAAAAAGGTTGAATTTAATATACTCCTTGAATACGCGTGCATATATTTGTAAATATATTTGATCATTAGGTTTGCTTTGTTGAAAAGAAAATTGAAATTAAGTAACACTGTTTGTGCCGAAAGAAATAAAACTCAATCCTTTCTTTTTTTTATATTTTTGTTGGCATTGTCGAAGATATTTATTTGAAAAAAAAAAACTTTTTTTGGCTATCTCTTATGTTTGTCGTTTTGCTTAATTTGTCTGTTTTGATCTATGCGCATCAAGAAATAAATTTATTACAGTTTGTTTTCAAGTTCTACATAGTAGATTGAGTATTAATGCTCTTGAAATTTGGTTGAAATATAAGCATAGGACTACATATCTAAAAGGCTAGCTAGTTGAGAGATTATCAGATTGAAATCAGCTACTGCACAATTAAGTAAATAGTTATATAGTAGATGACTTGATTATGCCTACTGTTTGAAAATCTATACTAAGGACTATCTGTGCGTTTCGTTTGGCTCTCCACAGACGACGTTCATTTGGAATTTGTGGGTGCTCTTTGCACTGAAGGTTAGGAGGCCACGCTGGGCCGCTTCGTATCGCGTCGCTGTTTGCGGACCTGATCCGGTCGGATTGCGGAGCGAATCATAGGGGCGGAGATAGGTGTTTGAAGGAGGTCGTCGGACTTCTGTCCAGGAATAGGACTTATTTATGTGCTGCGATGTCCAGGAAGGGCATCCAGTTGAGGCTCAACCCTCCGGCTTGCACACGTTGGGGCTGTAATTTTGAGGCGGTGGTTAAGGTTGCAAGATCTGATGGGGTTCCTAAAGAGACCTAGTTTGGTGTAGGTTCGGTCTTGCAACGTGCCGTCGCGACCCTGTCCCGCTTGCCGATTTGCTCGCGGACATAAGTCCTTATGTCCGGGACGGGGGTTTGTTCGCGCCAAAAGCTAATTTCAAGAATTGACGCCAGAGGGCGCTCGGCGCGGTGCATTCGTACCGGTTTGACGTTCGCGCGAGGTCAGTTGGTTGCTACCGGCAGCTGGGTCGAGTCGAACAGGTGCTAGAATACGTGCTGTCGAGAGCACGTCGTGAAGTCGCCCGGGAAACCTCCATTTTGAGAGTCGGTTTTGTTAACAAATTGTTGCCACGACGAGGGTTTTTTGTTAAGTCTAGAATTAGAAGCCGGGCTAACAAATTGTTAGGAAGTTAAGATTGATTGCGATCAACGTCGGAATTGTGCTAGAAATAATTGTTGCCACGCGAAACGGAAGTGACCTTTGATCCGAACATTCGGTATTCGTGTTGTGTGTTACGCTTTATAATAAACGAGTGTTAGTGGCGTCTGGAAATTAGTTAATTGTACGGTATAGTTAATAGACTGACAGAGTGAAGAAGAAAGAAAGTGACTGTGGTTGACGCCGCTGGAGTTTACCACAATTTGGAGCGGTGCCGAAGTCCGGGCTGCTGCCGACTTCAACAGTCCAGTCAGGTCTATCACAACCAACACCACAAAAACACCACTATACTCAACACATACACACCTCCAGCCTGACCGAGCCTTGAGACAGCAGTCGCCTCATATACAGGTAAGTAATCTCTATTTGACCAGCCTCCCCATTAATTGTAGTAGGATAAAACATTTTCCATATAGCTTAGTATTATAGGAAATTCTTCCATAGCCACTTGTGCTCCGTCCTAGTTGTTCGTCGAACCTAACAGCTGTATGGGCCCCTGTCTGGTAGACCTTAATCTGGGCAACTAGGTGCGTGAACAGTACTAAACCTAAGAATAATCAATAAAAATTGTAAACAATTTTTCATTGTACAATATCATGTTGGCTTCCTAATAAATAAATAAATAAATGCCGTAAATTGACAGAGATCTATCTATCTTTGTTTACTGAATAATATTACACATAAATAATATTTCCTTTATGTAAATAATATTTCAGGTGGACTGTGTGCTCGTTTGTCACCCTATCCTATAAAATAAAATAAAATATGTACAATAGAGTAATATATAACAGTATAAACAGTTAGGTAATTAGTTTTGTAAAAATAAGTACTGTAATTCATAAAATATAGAACATTGCTCTATCGAAAAAGTAAGTTGGATTGAAGGATAACTTTGAAGTAGAAAAAAACATTCTCCCATATGGCAACGGGAAGTAGCATAGAAGGCGCGAGACAGGAGGTGATCATCAAGGTGCCTGCCAAGTGATGACTAAGCCAAATACTTCATTATAATGGAAACGAACCATCAAGCAGTGAACTTTTATTAATAAGAAGTATAATACCGTGGACCGTGTAGTGGCGTGTAAGAATATGCACTAGCCTATATACCTACCCACAGGACGGGTGTCGTAAGAGGCGACAGAGGGAATCAGAAATTTGGCAAAACCCCTCGTATATGAAGCAATCAATGAGGAAATTTTATAGGTTTTAATGGATGGAACGGATAATACCATGGAGCCTCCTGCAAGCAACTGCTCCAGAACTGCATTTGACTCAATAGCCTGTTGTTGTAATGTTCTGCAACGAATGAGTCTTGCATGACAGGTGAAACAGACAATTATGGGCTCCTCATCCTCATCCATCTGAAAATATGAAAGTTCGTCATAAATATGGAAAACTACTTAAATATACAAGTTTATAATAAAATCTGTTGGCTACCACAACTCTTTTCATCAACATCATTTTTATAACATTGAAGTGACAAACAAACTTACAATCCACCTGATGGTAAGTGGCTGCTGCAGCCCATAGGCACCTGCAACAAACTTCAAGCAAAAGGCTACAGATGCGATGTTACCTCTGAGTGATTTTTAGCCTTTGATACAGTGTCGATTCCCATACCACTCAACCGTTTGGAAAACTTGGGTAGAAGAGGTGTTGTCTATAACTAGTTTAAGCACTATCTATCAGATAGACGCCAACGAGTCAGAATTGACAAATAAATCAGCACTTCCTCTTGCTCTTACGGTGTAGTTACAGGGAAGTTTCTTAGGTCCTTCGCTCTTTCTTCTTTATGTCAATGAATTGTGTAAAATCAATATAAAAAATGCCGATTTAACTATTTTTGCTGACGATTCTGTATTGATTTTTCATGGCGACCCTTGGGATAAAGAAGCACAACTCACAGAAAATGGTCTTACATTAGTAACTAGTTGGATTGAAGATAATTTACTATCCCTTAATGTTACCTATGTTTCGGTAAGACTAATGCTTCTTTTCCAACTAGAAACTTTAAAATTACTATCCACAGGTACCCTTGCAATCGCACTGTAAACTTAACACTATATCAATGTAGTAATTTAGTCAAAACAGATTTGATTAGATATCTTGGTGTAATCATTGACATAAATTAACTTGGGAGGCCCATACTGATGCAGTGGCTAAAAAACTAAGAATATTCATTTATATATTTAAAAGTTTACAGACAGTGACCAATCACAAACTATTCATTAAAACATACAAAGCATTGAGAGAGTGTGTCTTTAATTACTGCATTTGTTCTTGGGGCGGTGCCAATAAAAGTTATGTAATTAAGGTTAAACGTGTACAAAGAGCTAAGTATCTTAAAAGTAATCTTTCGTCTACCATTTCACCAATCAACAATATCTGTATATGACAGAGAGAAAGTGTCATCTATTTGCAAAATATTTCTTTTTCAAAGTTTAAGGAGATATCATTGTGTCACTGACCCTAAACTAAAACTTAAAAAAAGGATGGAACGATTTCATATTCCAAGACCAAATAGTGCTGTGTTTAGAAGACATTTTGACTTTTTGGCCCCTAGGCTATACAACAAACTTATACGAGATCATAACATAAGATCACTAAATAACTTAGATGTAAAAAGCTTCAGCTTATGTCAGTTATTTCAACTGCCGATCTGCTAATTTCTTTTTAAACATAAGGGTGACAACCGAGCACACAGTCCACCTGATGGTGAGTGAATGCCCATAGACATCTACAATTTATCCCCAATTAAAAACCAAAATGCAGATGTGCTGTTGACCCTTGACAACCAAGACGGAACACCTTGCCTCAGTAAAAAGGATGTCCGGTTCTCTACACTCACCATACAAGCCAGAGCAGCATTAAGTTGCTATTTAATGCTGATATTCTGAACGAGCATGATACCACCCCGGTAGAGCTGACCAACCTGTGATACAACCATAATACAGCTGCAGCGTGGCTCCACTACATATAAAATAATGATAATAATGCTCAACAGACAGAATTTCACACATGTCACCATGGAGACTCTTTATCAGTGCATGACAGGATTATATTGCATGTGTGTGTAAGCAAGCACATGTGCACATTATCCCCTTCTCAGACTTGTGTCTTTCGGAATACAAGAAATATGAGAGTGAGGGAATTTCTGTGTCTGTAAGCACATGTGCACTAATCTCCCACTTTAATAGTCCAAATATGGGTGGATGTTAATTTCTTAACAGAAAATCGCAATAATACTCAGTAATAGTAATAATATGTACTAGAACAGCCACCGCGAAAATATCTAAACAGCAGTGCGGGTCACGTGGAAGTTGAGCCCACAGACTCTAACGCGTGTTACAAACTACTATGTCTCGGTTTCTCTTCAAGTACGTAGTAGGATTTCAGGCTAGTTGCTGTTTTTCAGAATCTTGTTGTATTTGTCTGGTTGCACTATATTTAAAGCTGCACCTTAGCTTAGCCCGATCTATCGCATTTTATATCAGGCAAGTTATACGGTATTTCTAGGGCGATAACAATAAATTAGCGCAACTTCAATTTGCAGTATTAAGAAATATTAACAAACTTACAAAACTGTTCGTCAATGTTTTATACAAACTACGGATACTAGTCTTCTTTAGAACAAACATGCGTACATTAATGCATAAACAAATTCTACAAATTTCACTAAAGGCCATTCTTGTTTCCTATAGCTTTAATATAATTGGATTCACTTTTACATCAATAAACAGGAGTTTTCAAGAAACAATAAAATGCAGTAAGACAGGCAGTTATTATGCCAAATATTATAATCCAAAACCAAAACAAAATAATTTTTTAGGCGCATGACAGGATTGAAAGTTACCAGTCAATTTGATTTGACAGTTGTTGTTGTTGTTGTTTTTATTATTCGCTCGAGAGAGCAGGCAAAGGAACTATGCCATACAGTCTTATCTTCATGTATAATTATCCTTCATAGTTCACTGCTTCACAATATGTTGATGCGTCACATTGTGTAGCCCTTGGGAAATTTTGACGGCAACTTGAGCCAGCAGGCATTTGGCGATGGTATCTAAACGAATGAACGAAAAATAATGGGACCTACTACGGCTGGACTAGATCTTGATGACGTTCCATCCATAGTCAGAGAAGAAATGAAATCGCTCTAGATGTATTTAAGAAAAGTATATTAGATGAATTTACCTCAAAAACTAATGAAGTCCTGGCTTCAATCAATTTTCTCGAAGAACAATACGAAATTATTAAAAAGGACCTATCAGCTAAAAACGAAGTGATTAAGTCACTACAACATGATAATAAAACTTTACAGACCACAATTGATGACCTAAAAGCTAGACTTACATTACTTGAAAACCAATCTAGAGCCAGTAACCTAGAAATTCAATGCGTTCCCGAACATCGATCCGAAAATATTGTGTCGACAGTAAAACAACTGGCCACAACAATTAAATGTAACTTATCTGACACTGACATACAGAGCTGTAGCCGAATAATGAAGCTTAACAATGAGAGCCCTCGACCACGCTCCGTAATAGTCAAATTCAGTAGCCCAAGGACCCGAGATACTTTTCTTGCTGCAACAATAGCTTTTAATAAACAAGCAAAATGCAACGAGGAAAAACTTAATACCAGCCACTTAGGAATTGGAGTTAAGAAATGTCCTATATACGTTGCTGAACACCTATCACCAGCCACAAAGGCATTGCATGCAGAAGCACGTATCAAAGCTAAGGAACTTAAATACGAATTCGTCTGGATTAAGAATGGTCGCGTTTTTATGAGGAAAAGCAAATCATAGGACTATAAACTTATTAAAAATTCTGAATCTCTTCTTAATTTATCGTAGCTTACTGATAATAATCTTAAACATGTGTTGGTAGACTAATTTTATTTTTAAATTCGATTCATTAAAATGTTATTATCAAAATGTCCGAGGACTTCGCTCTAACTTAACAGATGTAAATAACCAAGTTCTTAATTCAAACTATGATATAATTGTTTTAACTGAGACTTGGCTCAGCGATAGTGTGTATGATGCTGAGATCTTCGACGATAGATACCACATATATAGACGAGATCGCGAAACATCTCTTCTTTCTAGTCATAAGAAAATTGGTGGCGGAGTTTTGATAGCAGTAAAAAAGGACGGATTAAACTCGCGCAGGCAAATTAGATGGGAAAGTCTCAGTGAAGACTTATGGGTAACAATTGAACTTAACACAAGTAATCTAAAGGAATGGCTACATGTGTGCGCAGTATATATCCCTCCACCAGTTGATCGTAACACATTAGAAACATTTATTAATAATACTACGGATACCATAAATAATAATAATTTAGGCACGGCTAACAACTCAATTTTGCGGCTTGGTGACTTCAATATGAGTTCTATCACATGGGCACTTCAACCCGTCATTAACGGTCAGTACGCATACCCAAGTAACTACTCTAACTGTCTTCTTAAAAGTAGCTTAATAGATTTTTTCACTTTGCACGATCTGAATCAATATAACACTAACAAAAACGCAAGCAGAAAGATACTAGATCTAGTTTTGTCTAATGTAAACATCAATGTGGTCGAAAGTCAGTATCCTATACGCAACGTAAACATTTTACATCCACCATTAGAATTTTTCTTTAAAATCAACTTATCAATTAATTTCCCCGCAACTAAGAATAAATCATTCCACAATTTTGAAAGAGCAGATTTTGATTCCATTATAGCATTCTTAAACAATGTTGATTGGCTACAAAATTTAGGCGTACTAAATAATGTAAATGAAATGATATCGAAATTCTACGAAATCCTACAGGTAGCAATAGACAGATTCGTCCCCAAATCGTACAAATCTTCAAAATCTTATCCTATCTGGTTCACACCCGCTCTAATTAAACTCATCAAACGGAAACACAAATGTCATAATAAAATTAAACTGTTTAATAATCCATTAGATAAAATTGAATTCTCTTACCTAAGGAAGGATTGCGATAAACTAATAAAACAATGTTATTATAATTATATTGAACACTTTGAGGAAGCTATTAGCAATAATACGAGGTATTTTTGGACACATATGAAAAACATGCGTCGTAAAGGCTCAAATTATCCTAATAAAATGTCTCTGAACGATCGTGATGCAAATAGTAGGCAAGAAATATGTGATAAGTTTGCTAGTCATTTCTCATCGGTTTTTATTAAGGATGATATTAATAAAAATTTTGACACACAATCAGTCTCCAAAACAAAAAATATATAGGCAATATTTACGTATCTAAACGAGAAATTGAGAAAAGCTGAAAAGATTAGATACATCAAAAAGTGCTGGTCCAGACGGTATTCCGCCTATATTTATATATAGGTGTGCAAATTCATTGGCTGCTCCGTTAACTATTATATTCAATACCTCCTTGAGCTCTGGCATTTTCCCCGATAAATGGAAAGAAGCGCGGATTGTAACAATTTTTAAAAGTGAAAATCCTACGAGTGTTACTAATTATAGACCTATATCCATATTGTTACGCGCCACTATTAATGTCTTGTACATGGCAACACTAGTTACACTAGCGCCCCCTAGTGTCGAGTAAATGAAAGTATTGCGCGCCACTATTAATGTCTTGTACATGGCAACACTAGTCACACTAGCGCCCTCTAGTGTCGAGTAGCAGAACTAGGAGAGTCGAGATCCTTCCAGAAATTTCGGGACTGATATGTACTCGAACATTCTAGATGTCGCTACAGTAGAAGGTTCTGGAAACTACCTGAGGCCCTATATAAGACCGGTATAGACCACGACCGGGGCAGTATTGAATTGGCGATACAAGAGAATACTTCGAAGCGAAATAACGGCGAACTGTGTTTTATTATTAGTGTGATTTTAGATTGTAATTAGTGTTGCGTAATTAAAGTGTCAATTTTGGTAATTTAATCGGCAGTTTTTAATTGTCTTGAACCCCAAGCTCGTAACAATTGGTGTCAGAAGTGGGATCAAATATGCCGATTTTACCTAAAGACGACACGGAGGGTATCCGTACCCGAAGTCAACGCCAACAGGAGACGGACCAGAGACGATTTGGTAATGCAACGCCGCAAACGTCGGAGGGCCAGTTGCTAACCACGGAGGCTGGCCCGTCAGCAGCTCCTGCATCTGCAGCACCTGACTTGGGTGCTCTGATGATGATGCTGCAGGATCAGGCTCGCCGACAGGAGGAACAGGCCCGCCGACAGGAGGAACAGACCCGTCGGCTGGAAGAGCAGCTGCAGCGCGGTATGGAAGAACAGATGCTCCTCAGGAAGGACCTTCACGCTACCTTCGGGAAAGAGATAAAGGAGGTGAAGGATAGGGTTGCTCAACATGACAAACGCCTGTCGGAAGCTGAAACCCGAATCGACCAAGTGAACAATCGGGTTGACAACGTGATGGCTGATGTGAAGAAAACGCTGGACGACCTCAAACTTGGGGATGGAATCACAGCTCCCGTGGTAGCTACAACACCTTCGCTACGTGGATTCAAAGTGCCGCCGTTCGACGGGAGTTCTTCCTGGTCGGCCTACAAAATCCAGTTCGAGGCTGTCATGAAAGCGAACGGCTGGAATAAAAGTCAGGCCATGACTGCTCTCACCCTAGGCCTACGCGACCAGGCCTTAACTGTTTTGGAAGCGCTCGGTAAGGAAGTGACTTACGAGCAGCTCCTTGAGGCATTGGAGGCGAGATATGGCGATGCTCACCTGGAACACGTCTTTCGTGCGCAGCTCAAAGATCGCGTGCAACGCAGTAACGAAAACCTGCAGCAGTGGGCCCTTGAGGTGGAGAAGCTGGTTCGAAAAGCGTACCAGTCTGTACCTGTGCTCATTGTAGGGAACCTGGTGCAGACTTTCATCGACGGCATCCGCGACCTTGAAGTCAGAGCTGCTGTGAGGCTCGGGCACCACCAGACGCTTAAGGACGCCCTGACCCATGCACTGGAGGTGGAAGCCGTGCGGCAGGATCATCGTTCCCACCGCGTCAGGGAGGTTGCAGCAGCTACAGTTCAGGACCGCAATAAGGGCTATAACCCTAGGTGCTACGGCTGTGGGGAAAGGGGCCATCTTCGATCCAGCTGCCCTAAACGAACTGTAGAAAGGGAAGGTGATCGATCTCGAGAGGGTAGTGCGGATAATAGCACCGCCCAGCAGCAGCAGGGAAACGAGTAAAAGCCAGGACTGCGGGGCGGGTGCTGGCTGATGTTAAAAGAGCCCCAAGGATTTCGATCTCACAAACCCATGATGGGAACAGCCTAATCATCAAGGGCGAAGTCAACGGAACGCCGTGTAAACTGACCATAGACACTGGAGCCTCTCGCACGGTTGTCAGTTCCCAACTTATAAGTCGGTCCCTTGGGGACTCCGCATACAACCGAGAACGCATTAATTTGGTGACAGCCACCGGTCAGCGCATACCCGTCCGTGGAGAGAAGGAGATGGAGTTGAAGCTAGGCAACATGATCTACCTGCATAATGTCATCGTGGCTGATATAATGGACGACTGCATCCTGGGCCTAGACTTTATGAGGAAGAATTGTTGTGAGATCGACGTTAAGCAAGGTGTTTTGAAATGTGGACAGGAAGAACTTTTCGTGGAAGGGGCGTTACCAGGGAATGTGTACAGCCTTAAGAAGATTGTTCTTCCGCCGAGATCGGAAACGATTGTGCCGGTTAGTCTTCCTCGGAGTCCTGGGCAAGCCCATCGTTGTGTACTCGTGGAAAGGGTAGACAATGACCTTCCATGGAAAGTGGCTCGAACCTTGGTCAGAACCACCGACATCTCAGGAGTACGTGTGTTGAACCTTTGTGATCAGGAACAGATTATAGAAAAAGGCACA